CTCCTCACTCCCCCCACTGCCCCTTCCTGCCCCATCTCAGCGGGGCCCCCAGGTGATCGACGTGGGCGGATCGCTCGGCGCCTTGTACCATCTCCATCATCGCCCCCTCCTTCATCTACCTCCGCCTCTTCCCCGACTCGCCCCTCGTGCCCGCCGCGCGCGCCACCCTCCTCCTCGGCTTTGTGGTGATGGGCTGGGGCACCGCCAAGATCCTCTCGTGAGCTCGGGCCACCACCGCGCCTCGTCCGCGAGCTAGGGGGATGGGGGGGAGCCGTCCTCGCCCGGCGCTTTCGCAGCGCTCTGGGTGGGGATGGCGGCGCGAGGGCTGTGGCGCTCTGGGAGTTCCTCCTTTCCGCCCCCCCCCCCCCCCTCTTCCCCCCGCAAGGTGCGAGAACGGTAAGCCCTCGACGGGAGGGCCGAGCCTCGCTGTACACTCCTCTCTCCTGTACAATCGCCGTACGTACTAGGGCCCGGCGCTGTCGAGCCGTGTCGCGTCTGAGCGTGTGATATTTGTGGCACCGCCCCCCCTCTGGGCGCGGAGAGCGAGGCTGCGCTGCGCAAGCACGGGCGGGAGGGGTTTCTCCTGCGGAGTCTCGTGCGTGCGCGGGGCTTTTCTCTTTGCGAATACTCCCTACATACAGACCTGTTCTCTACTCCCCTGGGCTCTACTCCCACGAGAGGGGGAGGGGGAGGGGGAGGGGGAGGGCGGGGAGGGGGAGGATTTCGCGGCCCCGTCTCCGCTCGGCCCCCTCTATCCGAGATGGCGTGCGCGGGCCGGCCTCGCCAAACCCTGGCTGGCCCGCGCAGAGGCCAGGAGGCGGCCCGGCTGGCCCGCGCAGGCCAGGAGGCGGCCCTACCGGGGGCACCCATCCAGCATTGCGCCCCCAAACATGTTCTTGGTGTCGACTTCGTGCTTGAGCTTGCAGAGGCGGTCGAGGTTGTCACCGAATGCGCGCTTGACCTGCCACTCTGTGTTTTTCACCCACGGCTTCGTGTCCACGATGTAGACGCCTTTGGGGTCGAGTTTATCGACCAAGGCAGCTACCCAATCGGCGCAGTTGCCTCCGTCCCATGTGGTTTCATTGGACAAATTGTCGGCGGACTGGGGGTCTTTGACGTCCTGATAGTAGGCGCACGTGATGCTGCAGCCCCAGTCTTGCTTGCGGTTGAAGTATGCCATGCTGCTGCTGTCGGTCTTCTCGACGTTGCCGCCGGTATGCTGCAGCGCGATGTTGGCCGACTCGATCTTGCCGCTTGTGTTGTAAGAGCCCAGCTCAATGAGGGCGTCGTAAAAGAGCTGGGCGATGTCACTGCTGCTCTTGGGATCGTTCAGCTTGATGATGATGCTCTGGATCTCAAAGGCAAGGTAAGACCGGCAAGTCGTCTTGTAGAGGGGGGGTTGGCATCCCCCAAGGGCCATGCCAGGCTCGAGATCGGGCGAGGGTGGCTTGCCCCAGAACACCCTCTTGTCGACGCTTCCAGCGCCGAAGAATTTGCTGGCGTCACTCGTGTCCTTCGCAAAGTCTAATGGGGGGAACGCAAAGTCCAACGCGTTGACGAGGTAGTCAGGCGTCGAGTAGACCTTTGTGAGCCGGTTACTCTTGGTGCCGGTGTGGGGGCCGAAGTCGAGACCCGGTGTGTAGTACGTGTGGGAGGACGATTCCGGGTCGCAAGTGTAACCCTCTGTTGCCTCCGCTTCTCCGCTTTCTTTGAGGAGCGTGTTGAGAGCCCGTTGGGCGGGCTCTGCCGACTGTTTCGAGCACTCCGACTGTTGCACCTTGCACGCGGAGCACGTACAGCTTGGGTCCCACTGCACCAGGCCGTTGCCTGTCGCGTAGAACGCCTGCACGCGCTGCCACTGCCATTTATTCTTGTCCATGGCCACCCCTACGACCATGTTGAGGCTCGTGTCATCTGGCGCCGTTGCCGACTGCTCCAGGAAGTTCTTCATGAGGAGTGTCTTCATGGGCAGCGCTATGGCGTCCAGCGAGAACAACGAGCGGTATGGGTCGGGAAGTGTGCGCGTCTCGATGGTCACGCTGGTCACGATGCCGAGCTGCGGCGCCGCGCCGCGCACGCCCCACCAGAGATCAGCGTCATTGCCCTGCGACGACTCGGAGAGCTCGTGCTTTTCGCCGTCCGGAGTGATGAGAGTGACGCCCCTAACGCGACTGTACAATGGTTCGAAGTTGATGCTTTGCATCGCGGGCACCTTCATGCTGATGAGGATCGCCAGGTCAGATGAGCTCACTGCAGAGTGACCGCCGCCCATCACGGTGACTTTCGCTTTGTGCTTGTTGCTAATCTTGACCGCGTTAATGACGTCACCCTCGCTCGTCGGAAGCACGACGCAAGGCGGCTCAGCATGCCCTGCACGCGCACGGTGGGCGCATGAGGAGCTGGAGGGGGGTGGGGGGTCTAGGAGGTTCACAGAGACGCACCGGTTAAATGGTTGTTGATCGAAGACATCGCGGACTTGTACGAGTTGAAGTCCTCCTTGGGGAAATAGACGTCAAGCTGGCCTCGCATCGCGTCACAAGCGCAGTTTGCGCTGCCGTAGTTTTGATCATCCTTGGCAACGTAGGCTACCACAGGTCGCGTGCAGGTGGTCGCTCTCATCACCCCGGACGGGAAGGCCATCACAGGTCGCGTGTAGTTGAACTGTCCAACTCGTGTCGTGCAAATGTTATGCTTCTCGTCGCTGCAGCGCGGATCGGGCGGTGAAGGGGCGGGCGACGGCGACGGAGACGGCGACGGCGACGGCGACGGTGACGGCGACGGCGACGATGACGGATGCGGACAGGAGCAGCCGGAATTTGCGACTACAGCGATCGCGACGATGAAGGCCGCCACAACGACTGTCGCGACGACGGCCAACGCGATGCGCCACCGGGACCAAAACTTCGGGCGGCCGGGCGGGCCTTGCCCCCCCTGCTCACCGCGTGGCCCCGCGTCGGCCTTGTATTCCTGCTCTCCCTGCGATCCCTCCGGTTCCGGTCCGTCGAGCGGCGGCGGCGGCGGCGGCGGCGAGGGGAGCTGCCTTAAAAAAATTCTTTTTTGCACAGCCCGTCCTCGATCCTCGGCAGTCACACATCAACAGCGATAACCTCTGTGTCCCCCAGCGCCGCAAGCTCGTTGGAGAGGGTCTTGCGTATATAATGGAGGACGAGCTCGCCCTCGTCTCTTCCTGTCAGTCCCTGCGCCGCGGGCAGGTCTGGGTGCACTGGCTCGGCTACGGCGCCGAGCGCAGTTGCTGGGTGGACGCGACCTCTGAGGTCGAAGCCACCGGGTGCCCAGACAGCGCCGATGTGCTGCTGCCGGGGATCGACGCGCCAAAGGTGTACGCGGCGATGTCGCTGATCGAGTCTCCCGACGCGGAGGCGGAGGCCGCCGCCATCCTCGGCCGCCCGGTCAGTGGCGGCCGCAGCGGCGGCGGCGGCGATGTCTCACCTGTGAAGAAGCGGAGGCGGACGGGTTGGGCGGGAGGCGGTCGGCGAAGCAGGAAGCCCAAGGCGCCGCGCAAGGCGTACGAGAAGCGCGTGCACATCATCACCGTCAGCCGCGACGGCGTCCGCGAGCTGCGCGAAATTCGGCGAACCATCGGCGGCGGCAGAGGCGCCAAAGCGTTTTCCTCCAACGGCGAACCATCGGCGGCGGCCTCAGAGGAGGAGGAGGTGGGTGCGGCTGGGGACCGGATGACGTCGCCAGAGGCGCTCTCCTCCTCCCCATCCACGTCCACCTCCGCCGAACCGCCGGCCGAGGTGGACGCAGCAGGCGGCGCGGCTGCGCGCGAGGTGTCTGGCGGCAGCGGCAGCAACGAGGGCGGCAGCGGCAGCAGTGGCGGCAGTGAGGGCGGCGGCGGCGGCGGCGGCGGCGGCGGCGGCGGCGGCGGCGGCGGCGGCGGCGGCGGCGGTAGCGGTGGCGACAGCAACGGCGCCATGAGCAGCAGCCACCAGCGACGGCGTCCTGCGTGGGACGACATGTCGGCCGCATGGGCTGAGCACCGCGCGCTGAACGCTCATGCGCTCGG